GGGTTTTTGGTTTTTAAAATCATCTTGGGTTGCTAAGATATGTCTAGCACAACAAGTCAAAGGTCATTCAAGAGAAATTCAAACAAAAAAATTTGAATGGGATTATTTTATATTCATAAATTCAATGCAATTATTATCATCAAAAAAAAAACGCGTGAAATTTTTTTTTTAATTTTATGGATGAATTATATCGCGTGATTTACCAGAATTAAAAAATCTATTTTTATGTGTGACTTTAGGTAGGCCAAAATTACATGTTTCAAATTTGGAAAATTTTATATATAACATATAAAAATTACATGATTTTCAAAAGCTTATAACTCCTGAACCAAAAATTATTTTTTAATTGTCTCGACGATAGATTGTAGAACTAGTCAAAAGCTATCAAATATCATCGCAATTAATTTTTTGATAAGCACACAATATTTTCTTTTTAGGTTTTAAAGTTGGTCAATTTTTATTTGATGGGTTATTGTGCGTGCACTATACTAACTAATATTTATTTATACTTGTTAATTAAATAGATACACGAAAACCTTTAATTGTAAAAAACTCAGAATGTATTTATTAATAACAAATTTATATATACAAAAATTAAAGCTCCGAATTTAACGAATGTAAAAAAATGTTTTTTTATTGATTTCAAAACCGACTTTAAAGTCATTGATATATGTACACAAATTATTAAAATAATTATCATTTATTTATTTAGCAATTTTACATCATAAAATAATAATAGTAATAATAAATTTAGAACTCATCGATTAACTAAAAAACAGAAATAATGATAATAATAATAATTAAAATAAAATAAAAAAATCCGCCGTTATCACCAGAATTATAAAATATTTATATATTTATTTATATATTTAAACTGTTAAAATTGTTTTTCATTAATTATTATCTTTTAAATTTGTTCTCAAATCATAATCATTTGGAATTGTGACTGATGAAGAAGTTGTTGCTTGCAATGTGTTGTTGTTGTCGTTATTTGTTTTTTCTACAAAAGATTTGGGTTTTGAATCAATAATAGAAATCATTATTACTGTTATCATCATTATTGGTAATAAATTTGAGTTTTTTGGATACCTGAAGTAGGGTCAACAACATTTTCACATGGATAATTTTCAAAAAATTTTGCAGAGAGATCATGAGAATTTTTTAATTTTCTTGGACGAAATTCCGGAATAAATTTTTCACAATACATGTCTAAAGCAGTTTGAAGTAATGGTCTGTTACCATGAAGTTGTGTAGTATTTAAATGTGCCTAAAAATCAAATGAAAAAATATGAAAAAAAAAACTATATATATAAATGCAATAATTGATAATTTTCAATTACCAATTTCCATCCTAATTCGTTACATGTTGTTTCTAATTCCCATTTAGTTCCTTGATATTCAGATTTAGGAACCACAGCATCTGGAAATAAACAATTAATTTTTTTAAAATCATCAGTTAATTCAGCCAAATTAACAGTTTCGACATCGGCACGTAATTTAATTTTTGTCAAGTTATCATGAACATAAGATTCTATTACTAATTCTTTGATGCTTCCTGCTCTTTGTCTTTTCACAGATAAATTATTATTTGATAAACCACCATCATGACTTTCATCTCTGACATTACGTTTTCTCAGAGTTCCTTTCATGATTTTTTCATTTCTAACAACACGCCGGGATCGTAGCTTTGGATCACGATTTCTATAACTATCTACAGCTCGTTGAAGGAGTCCTCTCTTCCCATTAAGTTCTTCCCTATTCATCCATGCCAATTTCCAACCCAATACATTACATTCATTTTCATATGACCAACGATTTCCTTTATATTTATCTTCAGTACAGTTGGCTCTTGGATAAAGACAATTTTCATGTTTAAATTGATCATCCATCTCATTAACGTTGATGGTTTCAATGTCAACACGAATACGATAATCCCTATTATGACCTTTGACTGAATAACTAAATTTGATCCATTTTATACCATCGCATACCTCAAAGATTGGATCAGTTGCTGGTAATGCATGATTAGGAGCTAAAGCAATTGTTAATTGATCAGAGTTTCTTGGAGAAGGATCTTGAATTTCAGGTTCAGGTTGTGATTGTGAAAAATATATTTGTGATGAATGTTGTTGTAGTTGAATATGGTGTTGATTTTGCGCGTAGATAGATTTTTGATAATGCTGATCTTGAGGGGGTTGATTTACATCAAGATGATGATGATTTGGTTGAACTACAAATTGAGAAGGTTGTGATTTAGTAGCGTTGATGTTAGTTTTATTAACCTCAGTTGCAGAATTGTTGATGTTAGTAGTGGCGTTGGTTGATAGTGATAATGTTATAGAGGGTTCTTCAATTGATGGAGGTATGGTGGCATTAAAATTGTTGTTATTTTGTTTTTTAGATTCTTTAGATTTTTTTTTTTTAACTCTTTGTATTGTTTTTTCAATTAATGATAGTTGTTCTAATGTTAGATCGTTCAAGAGTTTTTCAGTTTGCTGGTCAGGTGATAAAAGGGCAGATATTGTTAGACAAGAAACTTTTAGATCTTGGTTATTATATTTAAAGGTGGAGGAGGAAGAAGAAAGTGAGGTTTGTAATGGATTTTGAGTGGCAATGGTTATAGATTTTGAATTCAAATGATTATTATCGGATGATATATTGCTATCGTGAAAAGGTGTAGGAGAAGGTAACCAGGAATTATTACTATTACTTTGAGTAACTACTCTTGATATAATTGGTGGATCTGAAGCAGCACTCGACACTCCAGTTTGCGGTGTCCAAGCGTTAAAATTAATAATGGAAGGCTGCTGTTGTTGTGAAAGGATTGGTGGTGGATGTTTTTGTTGTGTTTGATTTAGTTGTTGAATTTGTTTAGACTGTAGAGTTGGTGGTCTTGGAGAAGTTGATCTTTGAGTAGTTTGTTGAGAATTTGAATCATGTATCGAAGGTTGTTGATTGTATGAGTTGGAATTTGATTGTGTAGTGTTGGTATCGGTGGTGGTGGTGGTGGTGGTATTAGCAATATTATCGTTTTGCTGGAGTGAAGAAGACTTTTGCATCTTTTAAATTTTATTTTTATATCTTTTTTAAAAATATAACAGGGGTATGTAAAAAATTTTTTTTCTCTCTCAAGAATTATTTTTTTACAAAATAATAATGTTAATGGTTATTATTGATGACCCCTGAGAGTTTTTTTAATTAAAAAAAATCTTTCCTCATATAGATAACAAGGGTTCAAAATGTGCAGACAACTTGCATTCTGGATTGGATGTATATATTGCCAAACAAAAATCTTTTTTTCAAATCTTTTTTTGGTAAATTTTTCTTTGTGTTTCACGAAAACAATTATAAAATGGATCTAACTTTAGCTCTAGAAGAATTAATATCTTTAAACTTTCTGTTTTCAAAGGATGTTAAATTGCAAAAAAATAAGATTATTGACTTGCAGATCAACGAATTTATTTTCAAAGCAATGAAAATTTTCTATCTACCATTAAAGCTTTCTAATTAATATTTTATATCAAAAAGAACTCTATGTAAAGTTATGACTCAAATAAATATTTTCTTTCCAAATTTGCTGTAAATGTCTTGAAAATTGGCAAGAAGATGTAAAATAACTTAAGCTTTCATACTTTGTGGAGTGTGGTAGAAATAGGTTGATCACTTGACTTAATCAGGTGACTTTTTGACGCAATTAATTGAGTCCTATAAAAAACATAAATGGGGTTTGTACTAGGAAAATCAAAGCTTCGAGGTCCCAAAACCAAAATGGATATTTTTGATGAAATTCAATATATTACACAAGGATTATAAATGATTAAAGTTTCAGAGGGTGTTAACTTTATAAAATCTTGTACAATTGGGTTTTCTTTTTATATTAAAATTTTCTTTAGACAAATTTGGAAATGATCATCGTTTTGCGCACACCTCAATCAAAGAAAAAAAATTATTATTTTATAGATTTGGATTCGGATTTGAACAATAAATATCCTTATGTGGTTCATCAATATGTTGATGAATTTTTGAATATAAATATATTTTTCTTTCTTCTGATGGTGGTGATACTGAAAAAATCTTTAGATGATCATGTGGGTTAAAAATTTTTTTTAAAAGAGAAAAACAATACCCTATAAAAAATTTGGCACAGAAAATGTATTAGTATGGAAAGCTGTACAGAATTTGTAGGAAAACAGCATAGTGGAATTTCGTAATTATCATGAATGTGACTTAAAATGTTGATCTTTTTTATATTGTGTAATGGTAATTTTAAAGTACTTTTCAATTGGATGTTTGACCTTAATGTGATGGGGTGTGAGATGCCCTAATTAAATCAAAATTAGGTGATGTAAGATAATGCCGATCAATAACAAACTTTTTTTTTAAAAAAATAAGAATATATGTAAAAACTATATAAATAAAAATCATATCAGAGCCTTCAAATAAAGAGATACAGACATGAAACTAAGAGAAATTATAGTAAATATATTAAGCTTTTAGATTA